AACGTAAAATTACTGAAAAATGTTAATTTTACCCGCGAAGATTTAACCGTTATTTAACATGGCGAAGTGTGAGTTCACAGTCTCATCATTGTTATACAAAAATACCGTTAAAATTCATAGTACTTGTTAAAACAATATTTTGTACTGTAAAATTACGCCAGTTTATAAATGAACATTACGAACTCCAACGTTAATTAACGTAATTGTTGATTTTGACCTGTTAAATTACGGAAAACAGTAATATGACGACGTAATTTAACCGCCAAACACATTGAATTTACGAATTCACCGTATATTTACATAAAAATTCCGTCGAAATACACGGACGATTTTTAACGTGTAGAAAAACGATATGTTACCGGAAATTTACAACAAAACACCAATCTATCGTATTATTATATAAAAAATACCGTAAAAATACAATCACACGGTAGTGACCCTTATTTTTACAGTAAATTTAATTACGGTAAACGTAAAATTACTGACATTTTTTACAGTGTACTCTGACACGGTGCTACAAGTAACCTATGGGGTGCCATACGCAGCAATAGTCCCTGTCAAAATCAAAATGTAATTGCAAACTTCAATGTCTAATTTATTAAAACGTAGGCGTAAATTTCTCAAAATGTAGATCTAGTTTTTCAAAATGAAGTTCTAATTTTTCAAAACGTAGTTCAAATTTTTCCAAATGTAGTTCTAATTTCTTTAAAATGTAATTCAAATTCAAAACGTAGGTCTGACCTGATCAAACGCCCTCTCCAAATTATATTTCAAAACGTAAATCAAAAACCAGCCTGGTTTGAAATGCATTTTACAACAACACTAGAAATAGACTTTTGCTGCGTATGGCACTAGACTTGCGAAATGTAAATCAAAACTAATCAGCCAAGCATGACGTGGGCCTGTTCCATTAATGATGGGGGAATCATTTTTCGCTGCAGTCCAATACCGTGAACAACGCTTCCAAGTGCGTCTGCTAATTTTTAATGGTCAGGCTACTGCGATCACGAGCCCTATGCTTGGCATTATAGGTTAGGCTTATGTGGGCTGGGATTTGCAACAAGGTCTTGGACGAGGCCTCTATACTATAGTAGGAGGACTAGGCCTCTATACTATAGTAGGAGGCCTGGACCTAGTCTAGACCTATAATATAATATCTGTATAAGTAATTATGATTACAGGTTTACATTGTACCAAGATCGATATTAACGATCGCATTTATTTTTCATTGAAAATAAAAGAAAACTTTAAATAATTTAACTTAAGGATTTTAAAATATTCCAAACCTGTACGCTTAAAAAAATAAATAAAATAAAAAGTAAAAACTTAAAACACAAACAACGCGATAGGAAAAAGATTGAGAGACGTTTTGGTATTCTGTACTGTATTTCTGAAGTGCCATTCGTTTTGGGGTTGCTACAATCAGGAGTTACAATCGATCCAACAAGGGAAGCACTATCTATTTCCTTACATTCCAAAAAGGAGGATTGGATGCTATTTAAATTTGATGGAGATGAAAAATTAACTGTTAATTCTCTTGTTAGAGAACATAGAATGGTACATGACTTTCGAACTGGTATGCCTTTAGTAGCCCTATGTACTCTAGGTGTAAATAAATACAGAGAATAGGCCAATTTTAGTGAGAACTAAACCTGTTTTGATAACGTAGGGCCAATATACAATGCAAAGCAAATTTATCACAAAATCAGAAGCATGATTTCAAACATCAGAACCCAGCTTTTATTGTTTAAAACTGTCGGGGCCCCATTGAGCGAAACTACGGTATTATAGTTTATATTATATTTTTAAAACTACAATGTCGGGGCCCCTCACGCCTGGGGCCCTGGCGCCCCCCTTCCCCCGTCAGCGCCCGAGTGTGACGCCACTGATTGTAACAACTGCAGATTGTAGCAACCCCAAAACGAACGGCGCTTCAGAAAATACAGTACAAGTAGGCCTATACAAATTATTCTCGCAAACTTCATATCTATCGCGTTGTTTGTGTTAAGTTAACTTAATTTATTTTTATTTTTCGAAGTGTACAGTTTTTTTGGATATTTTAAAATCCTTAAGTTAAGTTTTTTTTTCTTTTAATTTTCAATGAAAAATAAATGCGATCTTTAATATTGACCTTGGTACAATGTAAACCTGTAATCATATATGATTACTTATACAGATATTTTAGGCCTAGACTGGGACCAGGCCTCCTACTATGGTATAGAGGCCTAGTCCAAGACCTTGTTGAAAATCCCAGCCCACATAAGCCTAGCCTATAATGCCTAGCATAGGGCTTGTTTTCGCGGTACCCTGACCATTAAAAATTAGCAGACGCACTGGAAGCGTTGTTCACGGCATTGGACTGCAACGAAAAATAATTCCCCCATCATTAATGGAGCAGGCCCATGTCACGCTTGGCTGACTAGTTTTGATTTACATTTTGTGTGTCTCAAATTCTGTTCCAAAACGTAAATAAAAACCAGCCAAGCATAACTGGTTTGAAATACATTTTACAACAACACAAGACATGCGAAATGTAAATCAAAACTGGAACAGAATTTGGAGAGGGCGTTTGATCAAGTCAGAAACGTTTTGAATTTGAATTACATTTTAAAGAAATTAGAACTACATTTTGGAAAATTTGAACTACGTTTTGAAAAATTAGAACTTCATTTTGGGAAACTAGATCTACATTTTGAAAAATTTACGCCTACGTTTTGATAAATCAGACATTGAATTTTGCAATTACATTTTGATTTTAACATGGACTTTTGCTGCGTATGGCACCCCATAGTAACCGAGCTTGAGTGTTACATTAGGCTGGGCACTAAAAATCCTTTTAATACAATGTTTCTCAGTGCCACAAATTACGGCATTCGAAAGTAAGTTTCATTTTTTGCACTTCAATTTTTGTGCAACCCCCTTTTCATAATTTCAACCTAGCGCTATTAGATATAAAGATGGATAAATATTGGATGTTGCTACGAGTTAAAGCTCTGAGGCTTCGCGCACGTATATATAACAGTTGTTTAAGGTACACACAACATTGCCTAACACTATTTCTTTAAGGTACACATGCCAAAAGCAAGAAAGACAAGAGCAACAACGTCATCGACGGTCACCCGTCCACCACCAACCACGTCTGCTCAACCACCAGCCATCACTGACATTGACTACGACGAACTGGCTGACACTATTATATGAAAACAGCAGTCTGCTACCAATATGCCGGGTGCCAGCTTAGTCAATCCATTGGTAACTCAACCCAATACCTGTGATGGCATGGAATAGTCCCCACGGCGCTCGATCAAGGTACCAGAGTGGACGGCATGCTGTCCAACATAGTCAACATACACTCGAGCAACCCAAACCATTCCACACAGATCGAATTAACCGACGGTATTCCGTTAGCAAAAATGGTGCCAAAAAAATAAAAAAAAAATTGGCAAAACTAGTAGGTAGATTTCAAAACACTCCTACCATCATTTAAGAAGATCCCTGGGTTGCGAATATTACGCCAGGCAATATCAACATTCAGCAGAGCAACTCCTATAAACAGTCGTTAACAATTATTCAGTGCTTGGCGGCGTTTAACAAATTATCTGCTGTACTTATTAGGAAAACCCTAGACCAAGTACCACATCTGCTCAAATACCATAGCTATATACTCGACTTCCACCTCCATGCCCAAGTTGGCACGTGGCCGCGTAAATATGACGAGTCGAACACAGTGTGTAAGAATCGAACACAGAGTGTAAGGATAGGCAATGTTCTATCTAATGTTATAACTTCCAATACTGGTGCACCACAGGGTTGTGTGTTATCACCCTTAATTTTTACATTGTATACCAGCGACAAACTCATGTCATATAATTAAGTTTGCTGATGACACTTGTCTAACAGGTATTATAAAAGATAATGATGAGAGGGCTTACAGACAAGAACTTGATAACTTAGTAAACTGGTGCAATAACAATTCTATGATTATAAATGTAAGTAAAACAAAGGAAATTGTATTTGATTTCAGGAAAAATAGTACTCAAAAATCACCTTTAAATATAAATAACATTGATGTTTAAATTAACTACTAGTGAATATAAGTACTTAGGAGTATGGATTGATGATAACTTGTCTTGGTCAACTAACACTGAAAAATTGTATAAAAAACCTAACCAAAGACTCTATTTCTTAAGGAAACTGAGATGTTTTAATGTCGGTCGTGATACATTGTTTCTTTTTCACCAGGCCATGATTCAGTCGACTATGTCATTCTGCTGTATCATATGGTACAATAGCCTAAAAAAGACAAATGCTGGTAAATTACATAAGATTACAAAGTTAGCTAGTAAGATAATTGGTTTGGATGTCCCAGAAATGGAAAATATTAATTTTGAAATTATTAGCAGGAAATTTAAGTGTATATTACATGACAACACACACATATATAAGTAAATATATCAACTTCAGCAAATCAGGTCGCATTATTCCCTTATTAAAGAAAACCTCTCGTCATAACAACTCATTTCTCCCTTCTGCAATCCGATTGAACAATGCAAGTTTCAAGAGATAATCTATCTATAAGTGTATATACAGTAGTTAGATTGTATGCTTATGTATCGTACATATTTTATATTTTTCTATATTAACTAATGAATTGTATCTTTATTTTAGAACCTTTTATTTATTTATATAGTGTATTATGGTGTACTGCTTCTTAACCTTGGAAAGAGAATTTCATGTGAACTTTTACGTGACAATAAAGAGAAACTGAACTGAACTGAACTAAGTCCTTTACAATGTTACGTCAGTCCTTGGGTCTATCGTGGAATAAATGGGTTGATGACCTCAAATGGAAAGCTACCACATCCAAATTAACACAAAAGACAAACAATTTTCGTTTTTGTCGCATCCGCTTCTGCTTCGATTTCAACAACGGCGTCCCATGTACATCATCCTCATGCCCATTCAATCACGTATGTCAACTCTGCCGGGCTCCCTACCCAAAGCTACGATGCTTCAAACGACCCCGTAGCACGGTTCCAACTCAAGGAAATAGTAACAACAATCCGCATCCACGAACCTCAGTGTCATCAACTCAAACAAAGAAGCCACTCCCTACACCCGTTAACTAATACCGTCAAAATGAATACTTGGAGGGCTACAATCCACAACGGTAAACTAAACTTGTCAAAGGTTTTCGATTTGGATTCATCCTCGGCTGCACTTTACGCCCACCTCCAGGAGTATCTCAGAACCATGTAAGCACCCGAGAATACCCCGGGGTAATACCCAAGTATATTGCAAAGGGCCTAGAAAGGGGCCGCATTGCTGATCCATTTCCTACTCCTCCATTCGACAATTTTGTTGTTTCTCCTCTAGGGGTCATTCCCAAGTCCTCCCCTGGTGAATTTAGAGTAATTCATGATCTGTACTTCCAAAGGAGTAGCTCTGTCAACGAGGGGATACCAAGCGAACTTTCACTGGTTTCGTACGATTCAATTGATACCATTACTTTGCTTGTTCAAAATTGCAGTTCAGATAGCCTTATGGATAAAACTGACATTCAAGACGCTTTTCGCAATCATTAATGCACAAGACTATCCACTCTTGGGATTTCAATGGGACAGTTTATTTTTTTACAACTGTTGTTTGCCGATGGAAGCTAGCAGCTCTTGTCAGATCTTTGAAAAGTTTAGTGCTGGGGTGGATTGATATAAAACGGTCTTAACTAGTAGTCTTAACTTCTCGAATTAGCCGGCTTTGTCACTTAGACGGTTTTACTAAAGTCACGCCGCTAAGACCATTGCTATAAAACTGTGTTCGTTTAGACCACGTTGAGTATTGAAACGCAAACAATCACTCCCTGGTAACAAAAAACTGAGGGCTCTGTTACACATAATGACTATTAAATAAGGTGTTTCTTCACGTTACGCTTGCTCGGTTCCTGAATTAAACAAATGAACATGTAAAGATGAATATAAACAACAAACGAAGACACTTTTTACAGAGGCAGAGAAGTTTGCTTTGATTGAGTACTTTAATGAATCGAAAGAGATATTACTTCCGCAATTTAGCGCAAACGTAACGCCAGAAGAAAAGAGAAAACAGTGGGATATTGTCCTGCGAAATGTAAATGCAGTGAATCCAATGGTAAATCGAACTCGCGAAGAAATAAAAAAGAAATGAAAGAATCTGTTGGCAGATGCCAAGAAGGATATAAGCAAGGTAATATCTTATATAGTTTTTATTATTAATTTGTAAGGGTGAAGAGTAGGTATGCTTATATAATTAGGCTTATGTAGTCAAATAAATAATTTACAAAAAAGACCTTCTTGTAATGATGGATAATCAATGTTAATTTATGTTGATTTTAACTTGCAGTATCATAACCCAATTTCACTTTCATTATATAGTAGGTGAAACATCCTGCAACAAGAGGAGGACCTCCCCATATCCTTTCCCCAACATCTGATTTGATAATGAAAAACGGGGAAATGTTGGCAGGAATCACTGCAAGGAGTGAGACCGGAATGGGTAATTCTGAAGCTAACGAAATCGGTAAAATATCCAATAGGGATTACATTAACCATGTTGCATCATAATTATAATTAGGCCTACATTATATATCGAAACTATCATTTAATCAAAATTGCAAATACAATTATATTATAATAAACTACCGGTATTTATTATTTACAGTTACCATAGAGGAAGACGGCATAGTTCTTCCCAATCTGGCAGCAAGAGACTACAGTCACTGCTACTGCTACTATACTTCCAGTAGTAACAGTAGGCCAATTAGTAGTAGTAGTGGCCAATCAAAGAAGCGACGTGTGGCTCAAAATTCAGAAGAGATAGACGAATACATGGAGTGGGGAATTAACTTGGCGAAAACTAAAATAAACAAATGCGAAAAACAAGAGTTGTAATTAAAGGAAGAAGTATAAATGTTGAGATTGCAACAGCAAAAGCTGCAATTGGAGACAATTTTAATGTCACAAGTACACGTGAATTATGAGCAATGAATCCACACTGCAATTTTCGAAATACTAATCAATTTTTAAACAGTTAAATATTATTCATATTTATTAATTCGTAAACATTTCTTATGCACATACGATAATTTTTTAATGTACGACGAACGAACTTAGGCCATGTTAATTATTTTAATTTAAACATACTATTCAGTAACTGTATTTAACAGATATTATATCCTTTAATTTAATTTAATATAATATGATGCTGTAATTAATAATATTCGTCAAAAATTAAAATAAAATACAGGGTATAACAGTTTATAAAATTGGTGTAATTCTTTTAGTACAATATTCATCATCTTAAAGCCTGTGCAATCGTATTTCGAACGATTCTACCATCAGCTGCAACGGGTCCATTGTACACTTCCTCAACCTGATATTGTTGTTCGTTTATCTCCTCATTTATATCTGGCAGTTTCATGTCACTGGACATGTTGGACAGCAACATTGTGGCAGCAATTACTGCACACATCCTCTGTGGAGACATTCATTTTTCCTCTTGCATGCATCTGAATCTTCTAAACCAACACCCGATCTTTCCTTCGATTATGCTTCTAGTTACTGTATGTTTCCTGTTGTAACGACGTTGTTCTGGTGTGGTTCTGAATGCATATCCCTTGTCTCCGATCAAATACCCGTTGACTTCTCCTCTTTCGAATACTGCGAAAAATCCGTGAATCGTGCGTCGCTCCTGGCCATCTGATTACAGCATTTATGAATTTCATTTCTTGATTACACACGACTTGCACATAAATACTTTGATATCCCTTTCTATTTACATACATACATTTATTTTCGGTTGGGGCTTGCATTCGAACGTGAGTGCCGTCGACGGCTCCTACAATATTCGGAAATCCAGCTATATCGTTAAATCCGATCTTTGTACACCGTAATTCCTCATCAGTGTTGGGAAAATAGACGAATTGTCTTAATTTTCTTTCCAATGCTAATGAGACCTTCCTTATAATTTTATAGACAGTAGATTCGTGGATTCCTTTAAATTAAAAAGCATTAAACATATTAAACCATCTTTAATTTGGAATACCTCGCCTAGGCCATAAATGTTGTTTTTAACTTCATATTTATGTAGTTTATTATGATCTTCTAGTTACGCTGATACTAATAACTTATAACTAGCTGTGTAATGCAGTTTTAAAACTCCGATAATACTGTAAACCTACTTGCAATATCACCAGACACATTGTGGATAACACCCGTTGGACAGAATCGTAGGGCCGTACACATTTGTAGTACGGGTGGGATTGAATGATTCTTGTTTGACTGATTCAAATCATCAATAATTAAATCAGTTAATCGAATAATTTCTCTACGCGGAAATCTATATTTCCTATATTCTTCATCGTTATGGATTTCCTACGGATGAGATCGATCGCGGAATATTCGTCGTTGGAGTTTTTGACGAGCTAAGCCTAGTATCGGTAACACCATGTTGAAAATGATTTAAGACCGTTTTAAGCCTCCTCGAGTAGGCTTTAAAATTTAAGACGGCTAACTGCTTAGACCGCGGTATAGCAATGTTCTATAATTATAGACCAGTAGTGACGTCACGATTATAGCCGGCTAACCGTTAAGACCGTCTACACATCAGTGGATTATGGGAAATAAATTTGAGTTTTGGGCAATGTCTCACTTACTGGACGATTTCTTTTTTCATCAGCCCTAAAAACTCCTCTAGTTGCGCTGATATGCTAGCACGTTCTATGTTTTTATGCAAATAGATCAACGTTCCCATTAAATTAGAGAAAACGGTTTCACCGAGAACTAAAATTACAATCTACGGAATCGAAGTCGACTCAGTTGCCATGAAATATCGTTTGCCCTTCGAGAAACTACAAAAAATTAGAAACAAACTAACATTGGCGACAGATCGCCGGACCATGACACTTAGAGAACTACAGTCTTTAATAGACCTCTTCAATTTTGCCTGTGCGGTGGTACTCCCAGGTCGCGCCTTCCTCCGACGGCTTATGAAATTAACCTGCAAAATTTCAAACCCCTTTCAAAACATTAACCTTAATCGAGAGACCCAATGTGACATGCATATGTAGTTCAAATTTCTTACATCTTTTAATAGGATATCTGTTTTCCTCAACACCAAATGGCTGATATCCGACTAGATTGGGCTGTTTACTGATGCTTTAGGAACCATCGGCTGTGCAGCTGTCCTCGGTAAAGAATGGTTTGCATTTTAATGGCATTTCAACTTATTCACCACCAAATCGCAGTCAAAGAACTTTTCCCGATCGCTTTTGCTTTCGAAATTTTGGGTAAAATTCATGAAAAGAGAAAAGTTCTTTTTCGCTGTGACAACATGGCTATTGTCAAATCCTCCAAAGATCCCATAATGCGCCTACTTAGACGATTAGTACTATCGTCTCTTAAACATAACATTCTATTTCGTGCAGATCATGTCCCAGGGTTGCAAAATATCATTGCTGACCTCCTGACTCGCTCACAATTCCAGGCAGCAAGACGTTTGGCACCAAACCTCAACGTGCAACAAGTGGTAGTTCCAGAAGAACTCTTACATATCTAAAGCCTTCAGCGAGGTTTGTCGTTTCTGCCTCCCTCTCCAAAAAAAAAAAAAAAAAAAAAAAAAAAAAAAAAAAAAAACAGAAAATATATAAACGCACCTGGGAAATATTTACTGCTTGGCGGGGAATCAACAACGCCCTTTCCAGCGATGTTGAACTATGTAATTTCATTGGTCACCTCTTTAGATCTGATTATGCTGCACGTTATATTTCCACACAAGTCTAAGCTATTGGATACATTCATTGCGCCCAAGGTTGGAACGATCCCACAAAATCATTACTAGTGGCACGTGTGATACGAGACTCCCTATCACCAAAGAGATAGTATACAACATACTAGGAGACGTGGTGCACATTGCACCAAACCTTTCCATGCAAATTTTACTTAAAGCAATCTTTCCAACCGCCTTCCATGCTTTCCTTCGCGTAGGGGAGCATGCTGCCCACAGAAACCTTGCCTGCACAGTTATTCAGAGGGACGATATTGTATTCTCTGAAGTCGGGGTACGTATCACTATCAAATATTCTAAGACACCGAGGGGGAAGCCTTCAATATATTTCCTTATCAGTAGGTCGGCGGGTCACACTTTTCCAGTGCGGACTCTTGAAGTATACCTCGCTTATTTTAAGCATGTATAGGGACCCCTCTTCCAATTAGAGGACGGGAATCCATTTTTTTGAGGGCCTCAGCCCCTCACATTACTCTGGCCATAGTTTTCGAATTGGGGCTGCAACCTGGGCAGCAGAAATGGGGCGCCCCAAAGCGGAAATTCACACTATGGGAAGATGGAACTTACAAGCCTTCAGCAATTACATCCATGTCGCATATGTCGGTCTGTGATTTCAGCAATTATCTGCAGGGGCAATAAAACGCCGTGTAATTCGCAAACACGCCAGTCAGCAGAGAGCTGCGGTAAAATTACACTCATAAACGTTTCATCTACAAATCGTCCTGGTTAACCTGTTGTTACACCTTATCCACATGCCTTTCAGCATGGCTGGGGCAGCACGTCAAGCAATACCTGTCTCTTATACACATCTAGATGTGTATAAGAGACAGGTTCAACACCCAACGCAGGCAGCAAGGCCATGGCCAAATGAATATAGTATGAGAAGGGATTACGACCGAATCACACCTACATTTACTCATAGAGATTACTGTAACCATATACATAGGTTTTAAATTAAGGCATGCTTTAATAAATTATTTTTCACATAAAAGTTCGGCATACGCATCTGATAAGATGACCTTAGAAACCCAAAAATAAGTTAGAACGTTTCAAGTAAACTTTAAAATTACGCATGCTGAGTAGCTAGATGTATATGGTTACAGTAAATGTAGGTGTGATTCGGTCGTAATCCCTTCTCATACTATATTCATTTGGCCATGGCCTTGCTGCGTTGGGTGCTGAACCTTTCGCGGTCAGTGGCACCACGGCACCCTGCCGCTTGGCTTGTTAGCAACTTTTTAAGAATTTTTTCTATGGAAATTAATTTAGGGACCGATCGTGTGCGACGGTCCTTTGTCTTTTGTCGTAATAAAACACGACCGAATCACACTATATCTGATCATGTATTACATTAATGTGTACAGTGTTTGAGGGTGACGGTCAAGAGTGGGTGGGGTCATATAGTTAATTCTTAGCCCAGTAGACACTAAGCATGTTTACCATCTGAGAGTGATGTTTTTCCGAGCGTCTGGAGGAGTATATTCTTAAAATCTGCTCACCTTAGTCCCAACCATAGTTGGGCTGATAAGAGGCTGGTGCCTTCTATCTATTTCCCGCACCCCCGTCAGGATCTGCCCCTGTCATGATAATGATGAATTAAATAAATCATTTTTTTTTTATGTTTCTGAAAGAAAAATACTAACTGATGTTGTGTGTGCTTCCTATCACCTTGGTCCTGTTTGATGGTAAGTTAGACGGTAGCATTTCCACTCACAATAGTGTAGTTGCATATACCACTCGCACAAAAGTAAAATTCAAAAAGAGGAGAAAAGGAAAAACCTCTTGATTGCTTTTCAAAGTACTGTACATGCAAAAATAGAAATTGGAGTGACTTGTTCAAGTTTATCCATGAAGGAACATGGTTCATTTGTTTTTTATGGTTCGATTACGTCACAAGCTGATTAGTAGATAATAAGTCATTATTTTTATGAATGTCAGTTTGCATGGAATATGTAAGCGGGCATGTCTATGATTACCTCAATAAATTGAAGAAAAAAAGATTGATGATGAGTATTTCAGTGGCAGATTCAAGGGGTCTCAGCCGGCCTACCCTCACTATTTTTTCAAAATTTAAAAGTGAAAAAAAAAGAAAATTTTATTCAGATTTAAGTATGAGCGCGCTATTTCCGCCAACTACAGGTGCCATAATCATAAATTTTCTTATCTCATCCCTAGTTATGGTGAGGGCTAGGTAATCTACACTCCATATGTAAAAGTCACTCCCTGGCCTCCCCCCCCGCCCCTCCCCCTCTATTTGGAATTTCTGAACTCACCTCTGTATTTTGAAAATGTAGTGTAGAAATAAATTTTAATTGCATTCCTCAAAATTAATTAGATACGACTATAGACGCCAGAGCTTCCGTGGGATTAGCCCATGGACCCCACTGTGGGCTTTTGCAGGCCTCCGGCCTTTGCCAAGGGCATTTAATAATAATACAGAATATTACTGCTACTAAATTTGATAATAAACATTTTCAACTAATAGTAAAGCTTTAACCTGATGGTGTTGTTTGAACCGCTATAGGTACACTCCAATCTCCGACAATCTCTTCGTTATTAACAACTCTAGAAACAACGTCATAAGCAACACATGTTGATAATCCCGATATCTCGACTTCTGTTTGCAAACCGTCTGTTGTGTTGACAAT